CCCCTGTTTTTTAAAGAAAATGAACAAGGGTCCAAAAACTTTACCTTCGATTTACTCAAAACAGCATTTTTCGGGGATAGCCCCCTTGTGCTTAAAAGCGACCAAATACGATGTCATACCGTCGATATTTATCAACAACGGCGACAATTTGTCGAGGAGAAAAGTGCTTGTTTTAGACAGGAGGACATCTTACGCAGTGTCAATATACGTGTAATATAGAGAAAAAAAAGCAAGAAGGGAAGAGTGGCGCACTCATATGACCTTATGCAGTTGCGAGCACCGTAAAACTCTTACTAAAACAAAGGAAGTGTGAAACCAATTTTTGTATAGGTGATTATCTTGGACAGGTGGAGAGGTTTGACTGTAGTCAGTTGGAGTCAGAAAAAAGTTAAATAAAGAAGTAAAGTAAGGCCCCTTATTTTGAACTGCTAGAGCCTGAGTGCAGTATCAGAGGGTTACCTTGGGGGTCACGGTGGGTGTTGTAGCTATATTTTAGGAATAGAAAACAGCACATTGTGGTCATCATGACGCACACAGAGATGTGTAGGGCTAAACTTTAATTTTTTAACAGAAAAAGATACTCTTCATTTAAGGTGCTTCGTTCAATGTAGATATGAAGGTCTGTGTGACAAAAATGTGATATAAATATAGATAAGGGAACATTAAGTAAAAGCAAATTACTTGCTTCCTCATTAGTGCTTTGTTGAAAGTAAAGCTGAACAGTAGTGGTATAAAATCACTGGACACAGGGGGCCACATCTTAAAGATGTAAAGATAAGTGTTTTTGCCTGCAATCTTAAGGAGAAAAAAAGAAGGTTCAAAAGTATTGATATAATTTCCTTTATAAAGTTTTTCATTTCAAAATAATACAAACAATTAAAAAAACAGAAGACTTCTTAAAGTTGAAACTTTGGATAAGGAACACTTTGATGGGTAAATCTGTGCTTGAGGCAAACAAGTAAACATTCGTCAACCAGCTGTTCAGATATACAGAGTACAAAATTCTTTTAAAAACCATAAAAAAACCATTTAATGCAGTTTCTTAGTCTGTGGTATCGGATGTATGTATTGAAGAAATATTTCGTTGAAATTCAAATTCTAAATGTTGTTTTTTTCCATCTTCCGAAAAATGTTGCCTTCTGGGCTTCAAACAATACAACAGCTTTCCGACCATTTGAAATTTATAGCACGTAAAACAGTTTCCAAGAAAAGAAATAGGAGAAATAACACAAGAGAAATAACACAGGAGAAACAATCAGACAAAAAAATTGGTGCACCAGTTGCAGCTCACAGCAGTCTCGAACTCATTTTAAAACATGAGTTGGAACTCACTTGAGCACTTCTATGTTGGGGTTATTTTCTCCTCGGAAATACGGATGAGACCGATCTGTTCGGATGACATCTTTCTCCACGATGCACTGGATACTTCTCCAGAACTGCTGCTGAGTCTCTGGATCCATGGACTCCCTTCAAAGAAGACAAAAACAAAAATAACAACATTTCTTTCAGAGAAATTGATTAACTCAATAATCGCTGAACCGTCAGACAGACCACATCCACACGTAAAACAACTTGGTGACAAGACGGCATACGTCAAAGTGTATAAACTACTGAAACTGCAAGAAATCTAATAATTGACAAAATCAAAAAAGGATAAAAACCCTCATCACAAGAGCGTTGGGCTGAAAGTTCACTGCAAATTTCTCTCATTGAAGCTTTTCAAAACATTTTTTTATCTTGGGATGTACCCTAACCTAAGAGTAATAATATATCACATAAACAAAGTAAAAACATTTTCAGACTTTTTTTTCAGTCATAAATAATAGACTCTGCCTTCTGTTTTCTCCTCCCATCCTTACCACAGACAAAAAGCCTTTACCACAACAAATAAAGTGTTGAAGACCTTCACCTTTTAAACATGGCATTGGACCGAAGGGCACACACTCAAAGGCTACTCGATTAACAGCAACAACAACCTTGTGTTTTACTACTCTCTGGGCACAAAACATATATTATACCACAGTGGGCAACATTATAATGAATCTTAGTTTAGTTTCGTTTTAGTAGAGGTTTTACGGCGCTCGCAACTGCATAAGGTCACATGAGCGCCAGAAGATTAGAGGTGTTACAAGAAAGTAACAAACATAAAAATAGAAGAAGGGGAGATAAGGACGATAGATGTTTGATAGGAAAGCAGAAGCAAACCACACTAGAGCACCCGCCAACCACCCACAATGAATCTTAGCAGCAAGGTAAATTGTGGAAATGGTGAGTAGCACAACAAAGCTGTGAAGCATTGAGTCATACAAGTGTAAGCTCTGAGCGCTTTACATCCATCAATGAGTGTTTATACTTCATTCCCACAAGATAAAACATTTCATAGCAACAGGAAAACCAGTTCAACCGAAAAAGAAGAACTTTCTCAACCATAATTATATATACGTAAGGACAGCAGTAAAAACCAAACATATCAGGACTTACTGACACACTACAACTAAGAATTAAACTTATCGCAGCCCATCCAGGATAAGTTCTATACAACATCCGAGCAGACAGAAGAAAAAAAATCGTTTTTTTAAATTCCCGACTGGGGAATTGAACTCACATCTGCTCACAGGCGGCACAGAATCCGATGTCCCTCCCCCTTCCCCCTTCCCTCCCTTCACCCCTCCCTCACCCCTCGCTCCCTCCCCTCACACCCCACCCCATCCTCGCCTCACCCTGGTCACACTTGACTCCCTGCAATCCCCGCTCACAGGCGGCACAG